CCTCACATCCTAATAAGTGCTGCATTTGAGTCCTCCTTTCCACACATCACACGGCTGCTCCCCCTAGTCGTGACAGTATTGGGTTGAACCATTTTTGCCTTCAACACAACCTTAATTCTTCACAGCACAGATTCATCAATGTACTAGAAAAATTCTTCAGAGATTTTGGTCCAAATTGACATAATAGCATCACACAGTGGCTGCAGATGTGTGGTTCCACATCCATGATGTGAATCTGCCATTGCACCACATCCCAAAGGAACTCTATTGGATTTGGTGACTGTGGAGGCCATTTGAGTACACAGTCATTATCAAGAAACCAGTTCGAACAATGTTAGATGGTGTGTTAACCTGTTGGAAGAAGCCATCTGAAAGTGGGATGGGCATGGTCACCAATACTTGTCATCTCTTTTCCAGATCATTCCCTATACTCCCCACAGATGTTTGTGCAAAAAACCCCACTAGATCAGCAGTTTATAAAATACTCCAACAACCATCACAACGCCACTTAGCTAACCTTTCTTACCCATCTGAAGATCCCTTAAAACTTCAGCAGGTTGTCTACCTCATGTCTTTGTGCATAAAAGCATTGAGTTGTTGCCATGGAATTTGTCAATATTCAAATGAGCAGTTGAACAGGTTTACCTAATAAAGAGGTTGGTAAGTGTATACTTGACTATTTTAAAATAGCATTCACCAATGGACCGCCTGCATTTACAACTTTATAAAAGGAAAGAAAAAAACAGAAGCAAGAAGAGTTTTGCTATTAACGTGCCATAATGGGTTTCCAATGTTTAATAGCCAAACAATAGCAATAAATGAATACCTGCATTATGAAACTGTGTGCCTCTACAATAAATTATCGCTACACACCTTTCATCAATACGTTCTTCATACATTCTTCATGCACTGTGTAATGTTTACAAAAATGTCAAAGAGACAGAAAAGAAATCTTTTCCAGGGTGTGTTGGTTGGTTGTGCGCTACACTGTTAATGTTGTATCAAACTATTGTGTAATATAATACCATTCATTGGCATTGTATTTGGGATTGCAGGAAGATTGGCTCCTTTTGGGTTGCAGTAACACAAACTATGAAACAAATATTATCCAAAAAATAGTTGTTTTGGATCCTGGCTTCCTTATTCTGGGATTGTACCCAGAAAACATGAGGTACACAAAAAGTGACAGAATGTTTATTGATATGGGTTTGTTACAAGCAAAAAGATTAATTGCACTAAAATGGAAAAAAAACAAGGGAACCGAGTGTCACACAGTGGATAAAACAAATGATGGTGGCTTTGCCATTGGAGCGGATAACATGTATACTGAAAAGGAAATTGGATGTTTTTGAGAAGGTGTGGAGACCATTTGTGAATTTTGTAGAAGGATTTGTATTATCTGAGGAGGATGAGGACTGAGGGCAATGACATTTAATTTGGGATAATGACAAATTTAGGCCTTTAATGGAGTGATAAATCTGATGACTTTTTTTTTCTTTTTGCTGTCTGAGAGGAGTGTATGTTCATGTACTATTTAGAATGTTGGACTGTTTGCAAGTCATTAAAATGTAAAAAATAATAAAGATATTGTTGGAAAAAAAATATAATACCATTCACTCTGCACAGATGCCACTTAGTTTCAATACAAGATATTAAAAGATTCAATTACTGTTTGCCCTGGATGGTCGATACTTAACCAACCAAGCAAAGAATTTTCTACCTTCTTCTCCAAAGGTGTCTTTGAGAGGCTTTACTGTCACCTTGTGGTCAAAAAGAATAAGTACTGAAAACCTTCCCATTCTAAATCCCACTATTGAACCCACGAGTAGCTTAAAAACAGAGATGCAATGAGCAATAACTGGTTTCAATATTTTAATGCAAAGATAACAAATCCTGTTTAGAAAACAGCAACCGAGTGTGTACAGCAACTTAAATAGCTAATTCAAAAAGAACAACAAAAGCAGCAGAACAATGATAAGCAACAGTTAAAAAATCAATGGATGAACTGAGACAAAAACCCCCTCATATTTTCTAACTGACATCATGACCAACATGCTCATGTTCTTAAAGATTATACTGCACAAGTATTCAAAAACGATGTGACAACCGTTTGCCATATGTACAAGACAGCTTCACAAGTACGAGTAGTCAGACTTGGTGACTCGACCCTGACAGTTAGCTACAAGAATTTAAGTTACAACTTTTTTTCCTCTTAACTCTCTTTATAAAAACGGCTTGCAAACTAGTACTTAGCATTTCTCCTGTCTCTTTTTCCCAGCCTCTTGCTTAACAAGAACTCTTGGCACTCGCAGCTTGATACAGTAATCAGTGCAGGGCAATTTTTTATACACCTGAACTGTAATTTTGTCAATTGAAAGACACTGAGGTAAAGTAATTCGATACATGTCTTTTATTTTAACACTGCAAACTGATTACCACACGGAACACAAATATTACCAGGTTTTATAATCTTCATTATTATACACGTAATCCACATGCAGCACCAAGAATATGAAAAACATGGGAATGACATTACTCTCCAAATCAACAGAAAGAGAATTATTAACATATACATACTGTATACTGAAGTAACAAATGGTTTAATTGATCCAAACACAACTGTGTAAGTATGTGTGACACAACAAATAATAATAGACTTCTGCTGGACTGCTGATCATAGCTTCAGGGAGTTGACCTCTATGATCTGCTGCAGGATGTTGTCTACGTCATTGGTCTCCAGGCTGATGCCGGCCAGGTCCAGCTGGGGCAGGAGGGCCGTGAGAAGCACTACCACGTTGTTGCGGATGTCATGCAGATTCTCCTGCACAGACCTGAGCGTACAACAGATTTGTTACTACAGCAAGAAACCCAAACAGCTCAGATTTCACTTTTTGTTTGAAGAAAATCTTTTCTGGGAGAACTGAGCTTTTGTATCGTGTATGAATAGGTGTAAAAGGCTACAAGTGAGATGTTTACGAGGTGTTCCTTTATCAAAACCTGTAAAGTTGAAGTGAAATAAATCGCAGTCTTGACTGATACTCGATCCATTTATCTACACGTACCTTGTGCAGATGAAGGTAAATATAAATTAAGCATTAATGATTAATTTGGGGTGGCTGTAGCTCAGGTGGCAGAGCAGGTCAGCCACTAATCAGAAGGTCAGTGGTTCGATCACAGGCTGCCTCCTGGCTGCATGCCAAATATCCTTGGGCAAGATACTAACCCCATGTTTACCTACTGGTGGTGGTCAGAGGGCCCGGTGGCGCCAGTGTTCGGCAGCCTCGCCTCTGTCAGTGCGCCCCAGGGCAGCTGTGGCTACAATGTAGCTTGCCATTACCAGTGTGTGAATGTGTGTGAATGGGTGAATGACTGAATGTAGTGTGAAGCGCTTTGGGGTCCTTAGGGACTGAGTAAAGCGCTATACAAATGCAGGCCATTTACCATTAGGCATTCAAATTAGAACAATATCAATATATAGCTTGGGATTCCTGTCTACACAGCTGCATGTGGACGTCTGTACAGCGCACTCACCTGTTGTCTTCATGGGCCTCAGTGTCACTGAGTCTTGTTCTCGTCTGGCTGTCAGTCTTTTCCTTCCTGGCTCTGCTCAGTTCAGGCTGGTTGTTGGACTCACTCACAGCTTTTAACCCATGAAGTTCTGCAGCCTGAATCAGGCCAGAGGATGAAGTAGAGCACTGACAAACAGCAGGAGATAATCAAAGATTATTTCATTTAAATCAGATTTAACTGGTTTAAAATAAATCACATTACACTGCAGTATTTATCATTCTTTTTAATAATTCACTCTTTTGTGTTTGATTTGTTCGTATGATTACAAAACACTCAACTACTTATTAAGATGATCAAACATTATACTTGGGATTACCTTAGATTAATATATTTTAGTAGCTAAATTCAGCCCTGCAAGTCAAATCAAATTTCATGTTTTTTAATTTAAAGCTCCAATCACAAAAAAGTCACTTCAAGGTGCTTAATATTGTAAGGTAAAAAGGCCCTACAACATCAGAAACTATGACGTCATCATACGATGCTCTATGAGCAAGGGCTTGGCGACAGTGCCGAGGGAAAAACTCCCCTTTAACAGGAAGAAACCTACTGCAGAATCAGGCTCAGGGAGCGGCAGCTATCCGCTCTGACCGCATGGTAGTGAGAGGAAAGAAAAGGGAGACGAGAGAGAGAGACGGGACAAAAGGAAACTATGGAAGAGAGAGAGCCAGAGTTTAATAACTGCTAATGATCAAATAAAGCAGTGGGGTGTGAAAAGATATCACCTAGAAACTCTATATTGTTGAAAATATATGCTTTAAATCAATGTATTCAGGCCACTTTAACCAGAAAGAATTATTATTACATGTCCTTCAAGTGTTTAATAACTACTAAAAGTAAATATCAAAAGAGGCTCATTACAAGAAGGAATGATGAGAATCAAAAGAAAATCATGATAGAGTAAAATGTGAGTCTAACCAACATTTAAATAAACTAAAAAGGCAAAAATGGTTCTAAATGGTTTCTGACCTCAGCCATGTCCGTCTGACAGCCGACCTCTTTGCGTCCCGATGGTTTCTCCAGCGTCTGCGTTGGACTTTTTTCGTCGCTGTCATCATTTGTCATCGTTCCTCGAGTTGTCTTTGTGATTTCCAGACCTAGAAGGCTGCGGAGCTTCTCGGCCTCTTTCTCCAACCCAACCAGCCTCTGCATTTTAGCCTCCCGGTTAGCCCCTTCTGTGGGCAGCACCCTGCTCTGCTGCCCTTCTGTTCGGCTCAGCGGGGGCACTATCACAGTCTGCTGTGTGGAGGGGAGTGAGTGCTGCCATGTGTTGCCGGTGTGGGTTTGCGGTGGGTTTGTGTCTGAGTTCTCTACCCGGCTGCTGGCGTCCTTTTTGTTTTTTTCTGGGGATAATGTCTTGACTATATCACTTTGTTTCCCAGAATGCAACTCCTTATCCGTAACTGCTGAATCGGACTGGTGAAGCTTCCAAAGGTACCGCTTCTTTTTAACAACGTACAGTATTGAATCTGACATCCTTTTGGGGTTACAAAAAAGCAGGGTTAATCGGTTAATACAAGGTATTAAACGCTGATATATCAATCTATACACACACACACATACACACACACACACACATATATACTACACTATATCCAACCATTATCTAAAGCACAAGTTTGCATCAATACACTTGGATTAGACTGGAATTAGATTCTCTTTTTTATTCGATTCAATCTTTCCCCACCTTAAAGTTTCTAAGTGCTCCTCCTCTTCTGTCTCCATGTCTGCGTTTTCCGTTTTGTCGCTCTCTTCATCCTGAAGCCTCTTGTCACTTATCTCATTTTCCTCGGGCGACGCTCCTTTTGCAATTTCATTCTTCTTTTTAGTGACCGTGTCTCTTCCGGCGGCCTCCTCCCGCGTTCCCGTGTCCGACTGTGACTCCGCATCGTCATTCGCGAAAGTGTCATTTAGATCTGTGAGTTCATCTGCGTTTTCCACTTTGCTGGGCTTAGATGAACTCCGTAAGACAATTTGATGTTTAGACACTTGTTCCTCTACCTCAGACACCTACAATGAAAACAGCAGAACGCACCTGTGAGATACAGTACGGGACCTTTACTGTCGGTGAGAAAAACACAACAAAGATAAGAAACAAACAAATTTACATACCTCTAGTGATTTTCGTTTTGTGCCTCTGGAGTACTCTCTGCAAGATAAAAACACGGATAATCATGTTATGCTCTGGTTTATCGTCAGTAAATATAATTGTCTCTGCTGGAACTAACTAACTAACTGAACCTATGAAGGCTATTCGGAGATTACGCACACAAGTTATTCTGCTTAGTAAATCTGAGCCCTAATCAGACATGATGAATCAAGTTGTCTGTAAGACTTCGCTGTTATTTGTTGATTTAAGGATTGTTTTTGTGTGACTCCTGCGGGCACTGGATTTTCTGAATACGATGCCGTGCAGCGGTGATTAAAACTAAACGTAAAACAATATCTTGGGCAGCTTTGTGTACATAGTGGTGGTTTTAAATAGGCTTTGGGCTGGAAAGCATCAGTATCTGCTAACGCTGGGGTATACCCTCGACTGGTTGTCAGTCTGCAGGGCTAACGCAGAGACCCGAACAACCGTTCACACCTACAGCAAATTTAGAATCACCTTAGCAAAGAATATCTTTGGACTGTGGGAGGAAGTCCGAGTAACCACGCACCGAAAAAAAAACCATGTTAACTTTCCAGAGTAACGCTATAAGTAAATGCCACACAAATACCCAGGGCTGTAAAACAATCAGAGTTTCTTGGTGTAAGTTCAATAGAATATTTCTCAGTTATTTAGTTATAAAACAAAAATTATGCTGCAACAATCAAGACCTGAAACTAGGCATTAAGTAGGGCTGCCACGATTAGTCGACTAGTCGACGACTGATTTAATAGTTGACGCGTCGTTTGAAGCTTTGTAA